AATATTGTCAATAAATCGACTGTTTAATAATTGAGGGTGTGAGTATGAGATAAATATAACACACGCACCCACATCCTAGACTCTTATAGGTCCTATCAGTTCCTGATGGCTTCCAGGAACCACTTTTTCCCTCTTTGGAACTGCTAGGAACTGTCCGGAATCATCAGTAACTATAAGAAACCATTAAGAACTGCGAGGATCTACGGGATCCGAGGAAACAGGAACCGCCTTTTTTTCCGTTTATCAACGACCTCTGAAATGGTTTGCTTCTCTTCGTATGGGAGTGCGAATAATTTTGTTCAAGAAGGAGAATGTAAAAACTAGAACATGAAAAATAGTTTTGCCAATCAAAATGTAGGATTGATGATAGATGAGTTTTTTTCCGGGAAAGGTTGCGAAGATGAGAATAAATAAGTTTTCTTTCTGGAAAGAGAATGCAGGAATGAGTGAAAATAAATTCTTCCAACAAAGAGAATGTAATTATGATGATGGATAGGTTTTTTCCGGGAAAAAATGTAACAACACAAACAAAAAATAATTTTTTCCTAGAAAAAAGTGTAACAATTCAGGGAAAAAAGCAGTTCCTGATTCCTCGGATCCTATGGATCCTTGCAGTTCCTAGAAACCGCTTTTATCCCCTTGGAGAATATTATTCCATGAATCCTTATACACACTCACACCCTTATCCTTACTCTCACCCACATGCTTGCTCTTACCCTTACCCACACCCTTCATCTTCAAATGATCGTTCATCAAATAATGATACATTACAAACACATTTTGATGTTTTCCAGTCACTGAAAAATAGTTAACGCAAGAAAATACCCTAGAGCTTTATTAATAAATCTTTTTTTTGCCATAAAACAATCAGTTGTTGAAGAAATGAAGCAATTCATTTATCATAATCATCTTGAAGTTGTGGGTGTGGGTTCTGCTATGGATTTGGTTAATATATGAATATAGCACTCACACTTTCATTATGGGTACTATTCTATTGACACTATCCCCATGTTTATGTGTGTACCGTTTACTAGGAATTCTTTCAGTTAAACTAGATATTGTGTCACTAATATAGAAACTAGATAGTATTTCATATGTTTTTTTTTCATTAATTTAATACAAATTCTCGCTTATCGATGATTAAGATTGCTTTGGAATATTAGTTAATTCCATTTAAATCTCATTCTTTGTTAGACTTAGGTTAACTTTTTTAAAAAATTCTCTCATTATTCATAACATGATATTTCATAAATCCCACTGGTTTTTGTTCTTTTCATTTCGTCACCTTGTTATACTTTCCAGATTTCTAGTCAGTATTCAACTTTACCCACAACATAGAAGAATAATTCAGATTAAGATAAATGTAGTTTATTTTTGAAATGATGAGCAAGTGATTGATAAAAAGCATTTATATAAGATATTGAAAGCATTTAGCGCAAAATGAGAACATTAAGCAATAAAAAAAGTCCGAATTAAGATCTCTCTCATGTACATGTATTGAGAAAAATGTTCACACGTTTATTTGCACTATTATCGCACACAACAAGATCTAGTCGGCCATCGTTATTGAAATCAGCGGCAGCAATTCCAGTCAATGAAGAACTAGATCCAGTTGCAATTGTGGTTTGTAATACAAGAGATCCATTACCGGTTCCACGGAGCACTCCAACGTTGGGTATTGAGGAGAGATAGTTGGAGACTGCAATATCTGTTATACCATCACCATTGAAATCGCTAATAGTGATCCATGCCGGTCTAGAAGTCGACCCACCAGAAAACGTAGTTTGTAATCCAAAAGATCCATTACCGTTGCCAAAAAATACACCCACGCTGTACAGCAAGGGTTTGATGCTACCGAGGACAAGATCTACTCGACCATCGCCATTAAGATCACCGATAGCGAGGCTGTACGGCGCAAAACTAGTTGAAAACGTTGTTTGTAATCGAAAAGCCCCAGTACCGGTTCCAAGTAGCACACTTACTGTGGCCCAGTTGTAGCTGATAATGGCAAGATCTAAATGAGCATCACCATTGAAATCATCGATACCAATGAAGGTTGGAGTACCGACAGTGGGATATGTTGTTTGTGGTCCGAAATTTCCATTGTCAACCCCAAGAAACACACCCACATTGCTCGAATAGTAGTTCGCAACAACAAGATCTAATCGGCTATCCCCATTCAAGTCTCCGACAACGATATAGAATGGGGAGGGATTAGTGGCGTAAATTATTTGCGGTCCAAAACTTCCACTACCAGTTCCAAATAATACACTCATGGTGTTGTCACCTTTGTTGACAACGGCAAGATCTAGCCGCTCATCGCTATTAAAATCACCGACAGCGATTGAGAATGGGCTAAGACCAGTTGGGAATGTTGTTTGCGATCCGAAACGCCCATTCCCGACTCCAAGGAGTACGCTTACAGTATTTCCATTACCATTGACAACGACAAAATCAAGTATTCCGTCGCCATTGAAATCCCGAATAGCAACCATCCTAGGGCTGGCTCCAACTGCATATGGAACTGCTGTTGCGAAGGTCAAATTTGTACACGATACGACTAATAGAAGAAACCAATAAAATAAAGATTAAGCAAAAAACATTTTCTTTAGTCTCTCAAGTCATCAATATGTACTGGTAATGTATACGAATTTTAAGTCTGTCGTGCATCAATGGCTCAACTTTTAAAAACAACTAATTATTTTTTATGAAAGCGACTTATAATAACCTTTGTTTTTAAATTATTCGTTACCATTCAAAGAATTCTAAAGTTATCTCTTGAGGTTGTCAATGTGATCTATAAATGATATCCACACCATCAAGTTATAGTAAGCCAGGCGTCTCATTTTAGAAGTCATGAACAAAACTTCATGAGCTCTGGCTTTCATTATATCAAAACGTCATGCGAAAAAAAAAGTTAGATAGTCTTGATATACGAACCCGCTGGAGAAGAAACTGTTACTGGCGAAAAGATCGTGCTAATTGTCGTAGTAATTGTTATATCTGCACTTGTACTTGTTGCCGTGCTTCTGCTAGTAGTGATTATCTTGGTGGTAGTGATACTGGTGGTGGCACTGGTTGTTGTGGTTGTGCTTGTCGAAGAAACTAAGAAATAAGAGATATTTGACAAAGACTGGGTATGATACATACAAGATCATTTAAGCGTTAAGAATATGATCAGTAACAGAAATTCTCAAGAGTTTCCAAATTATATAGAACGATACTAAATTTTCGAGTGATTTACGGTTTTTGATTGTTTTTGATTATTGGACTTAGAAAAGCTGATCTAATCAACTTTTGCATCCAGAAGCCAGCTCGGTTTTGTCTTTTATTTCTAAACTCGTTGTTTTGAGAAGAAGCGTAAATGAACTTGAATATCAGAAAAGTAATAATAAAGAAGATTTTACCTGTTAGCACAGATTGATCCTCTTCCTGTTTATGTCGAGTAAGATAAACAGATGGAATAATGATGACGACTACCACAATTATAAACAGTAAAAACCCAACGATGATCTTTCGATACCGCAGTATTGCTGTGAGGAAACTTGTCCTAAGAAAAACAACTCTAAACTATGCATGAAATTAAACCAATAAAAACATACGAAATAGATGGATCTGTGGACACCAGTCCTACGGCAACAGCATCACTGCAAACATTTGCTGGATCCAGAGAGTTTGGATTGATATCTGAATGTTGGTTGGATTTGATGAAAAGATGTTCAGCATGATCGGTATTGTTAACCGATGTCGTGTTATTATCCAAAAAAGTCGCTGGAATCTAAAGAATAGACATAAGCTACATTGTGTCGATAGGTATAGGATATAGAGTTATCCTTATATCTCTATGGACGCACTCCTGAGCTACTATTATATCAAGACTCTTCATTCTGTGGAGCCCAACAACTATATAAATATGCATTTACCTGTTGGATTCCGACTTGTGCTCTTTGCTGATATTTTCTGACTAATTTGTAAATTGAAAAGACAAGGAATGGAACGACAAGTTTGAGAAAAGTTGTCAGTCCACCGTAAAGACCTAGAATCGTGGTGATTACAATGATAAAACTGCCTGGTTCGAGTATTGTCACTGAACAATAATCAGGTTTACATTGTTCAAAAAATTGATTATATGACTTATTTGATGAACATGTTTCGACAAACATTTGTTGAACAATAGAGTTAACAGTATCATCTGAAGAAAAATGAGTTTCGCTCTTGTTCAATGGCACAAGATGATTGGATAAAGACATATTCAAATAGGTAGTGAGCAGATTAATACAAGACTGTTCGTAGAGACATTGGAGTGTACTTTGAAGAAGTGATTCAAGTGGAGTACAACCAACAAGATACCCTTTAATAAAAGGTGTCGATGATTGAGTACATGTCGACAATGTGGCACAATTGCACATATCACTGCCATAATATTGTGGCTTGAGAAAAAGCACACCACTTAGATAAATGTTCTTGGTAATATAATACCAGTTTGTCGAATAGGCGGATACGAATCCATTACTTTGCATTAGGCCACGTATCATCTGAAGCGAATTGTTAAATGAATTTGGTAGTGTTAATTGAAAGTCAATGAGTGACGCATTTGTCTGTTTCTCGAACAGATCGAAGTCAGTCATGAGAGTGGAGACGATAGAGGAAACAAGATATTGTTGTTGAGCATCATTTACAAAATCTTTTACCAGATTGCACAAGGAACGAAGTGCTTGAAAATGACTGAAAATAGTGCCTTGAAGAGTGAATGCGTTCTTTGTTGCATATGTTGAATCCAAATCATTGTATAATTCAAACAAGTCTTGTAGATATGAGTCAGAGGTGAAAGGACTCGTACACACTGGATGAAAGTTGCATTGCAATGTGATAAATGATGAATGCGCAATAGACAATCGAGAACATGGACAACTAACGGCATCTGATCCGTAGCGTTTTTGTAACTGCTGATATTGTTCGAGAGATGGTTTTGTTATTGTGAATGTATTCAAATAATAGATCAGCGATGTGTAGAGAATGATAATGAATAATGATATAGCGAGAAGCAGTAAATAGGCACGTGTTGCTACACATTGCTGTTCAATAGCAATTGTACGGTTTGTATCTTCGAATACATTCACTTTCTTAAACCAATCTCGAATCTTAATACCCAATGTCACAAAATGTGATGTGCGAGCAGCTAAAATTTATTTCATTAAACATGATCAAGGTTCAAATAAAAAATGTTCTTACTCGATTCTACAGGTGCCTGTTGATATCGTGATAACAGGCGTCGAATGATTCCAACACATATCATGACAAGAAACGGGACAAGAATGCGCAGAGAGACAGACAGTCCACCGATCAGACCAACAATTCTTGTTATTGTTTCGAGTAAACTATTGCGTTGTGGAATCGTATAGGAACATGACGATGGTTGACATTGAGCAAAATAGGATGAATAATTTGTAGAGTTAGACCAAGATTCAATGAACATTTCTGAAAGTAGAGAGCCAATTGTACTATTTATCATGAAATGACTTGCATGAGAAGAAGAATTGAGCCGCGTGAAGTTGTTAAAAGATGACACATTATAAAAGTTGATAATAATGTCCAAACAGTCTTGATTGTCATAGAAACATTTAAGTGTTGATTGTAGAAGTGATTCAACCGGTTGACAGGCAAAATACAACTCAGGTATAGTATATACTTGGATTTCTGCTGGATCTCCAATGAATAAGCCCCAATTCGTTTTACAGCTTGAATCAGTTGCACACGAACATATATGAGATGAATTACTATCGCTGTAAGTCGTTATAGACAAAGGGGCAGCATATTTAGGTGGGTCGCCAATTTCAATATAAGAATTACTACCTACGGCAGACACAATTTGGTTTACATGTGTAATATTACGCAGAAGTTGAAGGAAATGTAAAAAGGTACTTTTTGTTTCCAGTTGAAATTGATTGATAACAGAGAACATTTGATTTGTAAATTCATCCGCTGTAAGCAATTGAGTACCGACCAGTGTAGTATTTTGAAATGTTTGCAATGCACTGGCAATTGTTTCAGTAGAAAAATCGCACAGAGCTTCCAGAAGCACAAATAGCACCTGACTCCATGAAAAATCAGTACTGTCGATGTACGGCGCATATCGGGGCGATGACGGAGAGCGCATATCATCGAAAGCATCTATCCAGCGCTCTGATACAAAATCACTCGAGCATACTTGATGATAAAATGGGTGAAGTTGGGTGAATTGACGATAGAATACCGTTAGTTGTGTACATGGACATTGTAGGGAAGAAATTAAGTTGGTCTGAGACTGAGTCTGTAACTGTTGCACAGTACTAAATGAAGGTTTGTTCACTTGAATTAGTTTTATCTCGAAGCTCAACATCCCATAGAGTGTTAAAACGATAAGAGCAAGGATGAGCAGTGTAATATAGATTCGTGTTGTCCAAAGTTGTTGTTTGATATCCAATGGTTGTTGTCGAAGTGATGACTTGAACAGATTGAGATCGATAAGAGAATTCCATATAAGCTTTACCAGTGTCTGTGCGCGTTGCTTCCATGTTTGCATTGTTGTCACTAAATAAATAGAAAGTTTTACTTATACAATCTCAATTCAAACTTACCGATATCGTTAGAAGGATGTTGAGGCGGTGTTTTAGTAAAATATCGAACTATGAAGCCGACCACATATGGAATCACTAATCGAAGAACAACCGATAGACCTCCATACAGTCCAAGAAGAGCAGTAAATATGTATAAAAAGCTCGAGTGTTGATTGATTGAGTACGAACACGACCTTGGACGACATTGAGCAAAATAAACTGAATAGTTGAGTTCTGGTGAGATACTCTCTATGAATAAATTTCCAAGAATATCATTGAACGTGCCACTTTGATTTGTCGCTTTCTGTATGCTCAGAGCTGCAGGCGTCGAATTTGACGACCAATTGAAATACGTTACTATGGCATCGAGTTCACTTTGATTATTCAAGAAACTGTTGTCGAGTGACGAAAGAAGAAGTGATTCCAATGGCCAACAACCGGCAAACCAGTTTGCTACTTGAAATGTTACAGTGGATGGAAACCAATAAAATGATCTAGTCTGGTCGATATACGTGTAATTGTAGAAGGCAGACCACATATTACAAGTAGCATCTATAGAACACTGGCATAGGGCACTAGCTCCGTGTTGCCTAAATATAGTTATGCCTATGTCTCCACTCCAGTTTAGCCCGTCTGTCGAGTAAAGAAGTGCCATGTAAGCAGTTTGAATTCCAGACATGAATTGATTTCCCAATACGTACGTGCGCATAAACGAAAGAGAACGAAGGGCATTCGCGACACTGCTCGTTCGAAAGGTGGTAGTAAATGATACCATTTCAGCTTGCAATAAAGACTCGCTTAATAAATAAGCTGAGATTAGTTGATCATCGTATAATCCTTGAATATCATTATTGATAGCTGTTTGTGAGAATTTGCAGAGTTCTCGTAAAACTTGAAATTGTTGGCTAGCTGTTGCACGAAAATCTAACACATAGCGTGTGGACGTCTGATCATTGAAGAGCATATCGATCCATTTTTGGGAAACGAAATCACTGGAACATATTTCATGATAAGTTGGAATTATTTCGACAAATGAACGATATGAAGCCGATATTTCAGTGCATGGACATTTGAGGTTTGTGTCGTAGGTATTTTGCAATTCCATATATGTTTCGAGGGATGGGCTTCTCACTTCAATTTGTTGTGTTTTCACAGCTGACGCATCATAAATGAGGAGAATGGACATTGCAGAGAGAAGAAGGACAATGTAAACACGCGTTGACCATCGTTGAATGTTGATCGTCCGCTCATCAGTCAAATCCGTTTCGAAAAGATTCAACTCGATGAGAAATCGTCGCAATCGATGACGACGACGTAAGTCATCTCTTCTTTCCATCTCGCGTTCCCACAATTGGATTCTCAAAAAAGAAACTTTTGTTAATAACTCCGAGCACATGTTTAGCAAAACGCGATTTCTCAAATAAAATGGACAATACCGTATAGTTCCTTAGGAGTCTACTTACAGTTCACAAGATCTTTTTACAGAAGCGTATGCACTAGCACTGGAGTTCTTTCAATACTCTCAATACTAATTAACAGTTCATTCGCCGTGCCGCTAGAGATTGTTATATAGCACATCAATCCCATCAAAGTGTTGGTTGAGGTACGCATGAGTGAATATATGTGAGATATTTTGTTTACAGCTTACAGTCACACTCTAATCTCTTAGTCACTCATACAGACGCCGCCAATTAAATGCATCCTTCTCCACATGCTTCTAACAAAATAAGTTTTTGTTTACATCGATTTCATGTCATATATATGTTGAACTTGACTTTACAACTGTGAACTCAACTAATCGACTTTCAGTAACTCTTGGGGATATAGATGTGAGTGAGATTGTTGATGTGGGTCTAGTCTTGGGTGTTATATTTCAGAGATATTCATGGCAACGCTCCTACACCCAAATCACCGTGACATTCACAGGGTGGCAGTGACAGAATTTCAACCGCGATAGACGTCTCTGTTACACTGATCCTTCGCTATCACCGTCACCCACACCCATCCCGACCAGAGTAGGTTTTGAAAGATCTTCGCAGGCTCAGGAGGTCTGAGTAGACTCTGAAGAGTCTTACACGCTTCCGAGCACTGAACTATTCCCTGTATAATCTGAGTAAGCTCTGCAGAGTCCTAGAGCCTTTCTAGGATCCGGTTATGCGCTGAATATTTCTCTACCCTTTTGAGGACCTGACTATGACATGAAGAGCCCTATAGGTTTTCGAAGATCCGAGTATTTTCTGAAGATTTCTTTTGACTTTCCAGGAATCGGGCATGCCTTGCAGATACCTCTAGACTTTCGAAGAACCCAGTATTCCGTGAATATTTCTCTAGGGTTTCGAGGAACCGGGTGTGTCCTGTGCGATCTGAATAAGCCTTGGAGATCGGATACGCTTTCGAAGACCCCAGGACGTCTTGAGGATCCTAGTATGCCCCGAAAAAGCCTGGGTAAGTCCTGAAGATTTTTGTAGGCTTTTAAGGATGCCCCAAATTTTCTTATACACCTTCGTGGAACAGACTGTTGCCGGAATATTCTTCTAGGCTTTCAAGGATCCGACTATTCTCGGAATATTTTTCGAGGCTTTCGAGGTTGCGAGCATGCTCTGAAGACTTTTGCATAGTTTTTTTTATCCAAGTAGGGTCTGGAAGACTTTTATAGGTTATAGGAAAACCGAGTAAGTGCTATAAGATTGGAGCAGACTCTTAAGATTTCTGTAAGCTGTCGAGGATGCAAGTAGGTCCTTCAAGATCTGATTAGGTCCTGATGATTTAAACAGACTATGGAAGACCTTAGTATGCCGTGGAAGACAATGGTAGACGTTTAAAACCCCTTAGAAGCCCTTGAGAGATCGTCATAAACAGTTCATAGACTTCTATGTGTCTTTACAGATGTTTGAACAAATCTTTTATAGAATATATACAACTTTTTAATTATTATATAATCCAAAACCGCCATGAGCTGACGCTTTCGTCGTTCAAAAATCAACGCGTTCGATAGATTTCGTTTAGATTAGGTAATCTATGATAATTACAGTTAGAAAACGCATTACGAGCTTCTACATCATGTAACATATAACTTTATAAAGTGACAAAAGAAGAAAACGAAGATAAACACTTTACTAAGGTCACATCTTTTGACCAAAAAGTGACTTGATATACGACTAATATATTTTTTCTCAATAAAGAGAGAATCGTAGAGAGCATGCTGGAAGATCAAGACACAAAGATAGAGCAGAGAGACAAGAAGAACTTAGGAAAGATCAAAAAAGAAAATGGACGTCTCATTTATCTTCTCGAAACTAAATGACATTATCATAAGATAAAAAGGAAAGGTGATAAATGATCATTTAACTTCAGTTTGAAAATATTCCACTTCATAGATTACAAATATCTTCTAAAAACTATACATTATGGTCAGTATTGATTCTTTCTCTTTTTATATATTCATTTACATACACACACTTACCTCAAAGACAATACCAAACTAACTAATTGATGTAATACAATTTGAGAGCAAAAAAGAAAATGTAAACGTATTGTTATAACGTATAAATGCCTTTTTAACTTTCGTATTTCACTGACAGATATTCTCACTGAAAACTCAACATTATATACTCGACAGAGAGAGAAAAAAGAAAAGAAAGAGCTACCTTGGTGATGAATTATTGGGCATCTAATAGAGAAATACATTTCGATGAGTGGCATGTGTTGAATGAGCCTTTAGCAACGCGAGAGGAAAACATTGACAAAACAACTAAATGTAGAAAGAAAATAATAAATTAAATATAGTAGAAAATGTTTTTTTTTCTTTTTATTAACTGCAAAAAAATCAGATTAAATGGAATCTTCGATCTTTAAATTAAGATATAATTACATACGATCAAATCTTTATTCTACAACAGTCTAAGAATAAAAAATAACCGGATCGCGTTTTCCACAAATGAAAGGTTTTCTACCTAGAGACCATGATTTAAGTAAAATAAAATTAATTAATTAGTATACAATCTCTGAGTTTCCATACAGAACAAAATGAAATTCAACTTTGGTTATGATGAGAAAACTGGAATAATGTCGAACTTCGTTAAAAATTCTTTTCTATTCAAGTCTTCGAAGAAAGATGAGCTCAAGGACAATAGTTTTAATATCTTAGATCTTTCAAATTCTTCTCATTATCAATTCGAGCATTAATGTATGAACATCAGGCAAATGGCTCACTGCATGAACAAGTAACTTGTTATTTTCTGTGAGCGAGTTGTTATAGCAATCTATTAACATCTGAAGAACACAAAAGAAAGTGGATATTCTCTTTCAAGTCATTACAAAAGTGGCACACACACATCTAATTGATGAATCACACTGTTAGTAGAGTTAAAATAAATATTCCGGATAGCAACAAACTCATCTTTTTGAAATGTTTTTTTTCTTTCTTTTATTTTATTATATATTTTTTTTAGTCGTTTTTATTTGTGTTGTATAAGTTTCCCTAAAATCAACATGTTATATTCTTCAATCGTGTACAATATAAACGAGTGTTAAAGAACATAATCTTTTCTATTTAAAAAAAAGATTACTTCATCCTTAACAGGATTTGGTGTCACATGCTCTATTGGTGTTTTGAAAATCCGTTTAAAAGTCTTTTTTCTTTTCCTCCAAGTAAATCATATAATTAAATAAAATAACTGTAATGATCACAACACAAAGAAATCAAGTGTTTTTTTTCTTCTTCAGCTCAAAGATCATAGGCTTACAATGTCTCCTAAAGTGATTCGTTTTATTTAATTCTCGTCGTTAACTTCAATGTTTCTGATATCATCTCAAATACTTTTGTATATCGATTTTTGAATAAGTTTATATTTAACAATTGTTTTATGAAATGTCCTATAAAAGTAATTGATTTTTATTGATCAAGATAATAATTGTGATGTTTTGAAGTAGATTTTTATGTTTATATTAACACTATAGTCAGAGATGGTTAATTATATCTTAGCTATCTTAAATCAAACATTTTTTATTTCTTAATATTTGTTCTCGAAATTTGTTTATCGTTCACTTTAATTAGAAAACAGTTTTTTCTTTTTTTTCAAATGATGGTAGCATTTTCTTACTTTTAATTACATCAAAATGTTTATTCTAGAAAAAGATGGTATCCAATTGGTTACAGATAACTTTCTGGGAATATTTACTTCTTTTTGTTTTATCCTCTCATAGAAACCATCGATATATTTGTTTATAAACTCGCAAAGAGAACCGCCCGAGGTGATTCAGACCATCGAGGCTGAGATTTTGCGCATAAGTAGAGTCTGATGTGGTTAGAAAAATCATAAAAGGATAAGGGTATATATACCTTGCTTCTTGAATTATGACCATTTTACTAGATATATTGTGAATAATAAGGGATTCGCTAAAAACTCATATTACCGAATTTTGATCTGAAATTTTGTCTATAGATAGGGCTAATGACTCTCAAAATATGCAGAAAGTTTCAGCTGAAAAGAATGTTCCTTTGTCGAGATATTAAATTTTCAAAAGATAGTCGTTTGCCACAAACATGTCGCAAAGATGAGTTTATTTCAAAAATAAATATCTCGACAAAGGAATATTCTTTTCAGCTGAAACTTCAGCATATTTTGAGAGTCATTAGCTCTATCTATAGACAAAATTTCAGATCAAAATTCGGTAGCATGATTTGTTTTAGTGCATCCCTTATCATTGATAATATATGAAGTAAAATGGCCATAGTTCAAGAAGCAAGGTACATGGACCCTTATCCTTTTAGGATTTTTCCAGTATTATCGGACTCTACTTATACATAAAATTTCAGCCTCAAAACTCTGAATCACCTCTGGCGGTTCGCTCGTCAGTGAAAAGAAACTAGATGCTATGCTAAGTGCCACAATAAGATGGCTAATGATGAGAGTGGGGTGTGGGTGTTGATATAGGTTTCTAGCTTCTCTTAGTCCACACCCACAGCTTCTACTCACAAATAAATTTTACGTAAAGTATTACAGTAAAGAAACGAAGAGGGAAAAGACTTTAGTGCAAGGGTGTAGTTTCGGAGAGTATATATGAAACGGTAAATTCCACTTTCGCCGAAAATTTTTTTCGCCG